ATATATCAAATGAAAATCCCACTTCCGTCACTTGGCGAACTGTCAGTCTGTTCGTACTTAGCGAAGTGTCACTACCCCTATAAGCTTGCCAAATGTCGGGCTTGCAATTGTCGCTAGCTTCGAGCAGCTATCAGCTTTTATAATAGCAAAATTTTGTCGACATCAGTATTATTTATAAGCAATCGATGAATAGCAAAACAAGTTTGATTTAGATCATATGAAAGCTTATTTTAAATGCAGTGGAATACAGTTGGGATTATTGAATATGAATTTAGTGATTGCTTCATTCTCAAGGAAGTTTTCTTTCAGAGATATTCGGTTTTAATAAATGTGGTGTATCATCGTTTAGTTTATCAGTTCGGATGTTCAGCTGACTTTCATCACTTATCACTGTAAAGAATGTTCAAACGTTTCGGTGGTTCCTCGGGTATTTGGAAACCGAAGAATCCGCACTCGTTGGAGTACTTGAAGTAGGTTTTGAACTAATTTTCCAAGTTTGTTTCCATCATTCAAAAGTTTCAGTCATCTGTTCATTTATTTGAATGAGACTGTTCCATGTTCTGCAGTCGCATCGGTGATGGTCATTCTGAAAACAGTGTCGTTTAGATATTTGCATGGAATTTTGATGAAAAATGAACGTGTAACAGAGCACAATCGAACGTTGTTAGTGGAAGCTTTGCGAGCAATTGCTGAGATTTTAATTTGGGGTGACCAAAATGACAGCTCTGTTTTTGAGTGAGTTTTATTTCTGTTTCCTTTTTGTTCTGGATCAAGATCACGTTTGTTTTAAACCAAACAAACATTTGAAGAGATTACTACATGAAGAAAATTTCATATTTCGAACAATTATGTAATGAATGGTTGTTAGAATATCTGAAAGTATCCTGACTTGATGCTGTGGAACTTCAAAACATATTTTGATAATGAAACGATTGGCTGTGAATGCAGAAATCTTACTGAATCTGTTGCGAGCTAGTCTTCTGTTTCGTACCTGAAACTGTCAATAGTTATGTTGAATATCTACTTTTCTCTGATCGGTTGCGCTCATTATAAAGTCAATTCAACTGAGATGTTGTAGTTTCTTTCTGGAGAAGCAAATGCTATCGTATTTTTTATCGATAATGACTCAAAAATGTGGTTCATTTGTATGTGTACAATTACTTCAAACGCTCAATATTCTCTTCGAAAATATTCGCCATGAGACCTCACTATGTTAGTTGCCACGATGAGTCACATGTTTATGATCCTTACATTATTTTATTTTCATCCAATTTTTAACCGGAAACTCAGTTTTGATATATTCTTCTTTTAATGAACATTCTCGAGACATTTATTTACTGGGGCAAGTATTTTTTGTGCTGTCAATTTCGATGATCAAATTTCAGATTTCTTGCTCAGCAATAATCATGTAAATTCTATAATCACACATAAATTTGATTTCAACAACGAAGAAATTATGGCTTACTACATATCGTTTTTGAAAACACTCTCGTTCAAGCTCAACGTTTACACGGTTCATTTCTTCTTTAATGAGGTATTTTCTTTAAGTAGCATTAATGTTGTTTTCTATTGATCAGTTCTCATAGAACTGTGTTCTGATTGAAACATCAGCATTTCTTTTCGAGATTTTGCCATTGTCTGATCAGTTGTGTTAATTCACTGAAACGCTGAACTTCTTCCGAAAGAAAATTACTGATTTGTGAATTCACTGTCAATTTCAGTAAAATTTCAGTTTTGAAAAAATTTTGTTTTGGAAGTTTCAGTCCACTCAAGAATTCCCCCTTTATACGGAGGCAATAAAATTTTACAATCACAGTGAAGGAATGGTTCGAATAGCTGTACGCACAACAACGCTTAACATCTTCAAAGGTTTTAGTTTCTCTTATGATAATTATTTCTCACGAGTCTATTTTCCGCTTGTGATGGGTATTCATATGGAGTTAAAGCAGATGATTTTTTGATTTTGTTAGTATCAAATACTTTTTCCACTGGTTTTTCAGTGGAATGGTATTCGAATGAAGAGGTTGTATTACATTGCCAATTTTTAAACATCAAATTACCTTAGTTGGTAGTGTCGGGATTTAAATTTTTGCGAAGAATTTCAGTGGAAGATGAATTAATGCGTACATTTGTAAGAAACAAGTCACGTGATTATTTTTGTGCGGTTGTTGATCTGACAGCCTTCCATTCGATCGATATCGATCAGTTTGCGAGATCAGCTGAGAACGAATCATCGAATCGCGATCGACTCTGCGATTTGATCTGTGAAAATTTGGATCATATTCATTACCTCAATGATATTTTTTTGATCAAGGTAAGCCATCTCCAACCATTAAATATCTATTCATCATTCGTTTGTGACTTATTCATACTGCTTATCATTCCGAGAAAGTGCAGCATTTCGATGCGGGTAATTCCCATGTCCCTGATAGAAGTATGCGAATTTATATTTGCAGTTCAGTTTGATTCTGTTGAATGGAGGTAAGGATGTGTGGAAATACTTCAAAATTTGAGCAAATACTCGTTCATAGTTGACTGATATAAATTGATGTTAAGGATGAACATCTATCAGCAGTATTATCCGAAATTGTCTTTCGACGTCTACTCGCTCCACTCTATCTGTGCTCGTTGGCGTCACTGAGAATATGTCCAAATGCAATAATCCTCTCTCCAGTTTCATCGCTTTTCCTCCTTTCACAATTCCTTTTGGTGGTCACCGATTCACAGGTGCGTCGTGCCGTCGATTTGTGCAGTTTTTGTTTTCGTTGGTGAAGATTATTTCACATTCATTCTTTTTTTTCGGTGTCAACTTTGAGTTCGCGATTTTTTGAGTTAAGGTGAAGTGCTCGAATAATACAATAATAATTTTATTTATGAATTCAAGGCAGTTCAAACACTGTTGTCATCGTTTTTCTTTGGGGATGGCAGTGATGTGCGACAACAGTGGAGTCGATCACAACCCGATGCCAAATTGATTCTTGTGAATCTTCCATTAACGAACACTACTTCTAACAGGTTGATTTTCTTCCTCTTTTTTGTTTTACTTGTTTTCAACAAGAAAAATTGTTTGAGGTGTATCCAGCAAAGAAGGGAGATCAGCATTTCTCTAATTAAAAAAAAAACTTTTAAGGGTATTCTTCAACAGTTATTTAAAGTCGTTGAATTGTGAACGGAACGACCATGCTGCCTTCTTTGGCCTCTTATTCCTGTATGCGATCTGTCAGAATAAAGGTTAGATGCGTTCATTCTATGAGTGCTTTCTTTTTTCTTCGTTCAGATTTATTCATTAGTCCATATCTTATCGATCTCATCGATGAGTATTGTCTTGGTTAAGCCCTTTTTTTGGTTAAGTGAATGAATTAATGAATTTTCAAACATCTCATGCCTATTCGTTTTTCGTGCTTTCATTATCGAGCTTCGCAGTTTTATCCGTCCGCGTTTCCGTCGCCTCAATGGAATGGTGAATCTAAGAAATCGCATTTCTAGCATAATGTTTTTTGATGTTCAAAGTTACTTTGGCCATGGTTTATTCATATTTGTTTCAATATTTCAAATTATTCGTTCATCTAATACTCACTTTTTTACTGCTTTCATTTGACGGTACAGAAAGTAAGTTTTGTTGATTTGTTTCATTGACATTGAGTCTGTTGTCTGCTTTCCATCTGTTATGACTACTATAATTCATTGTAATTTCGGTGGTAGTTGTTCTGTGTAAAAAAATGTATTTGCTATTATATATCCCGTAGCTGTTATTGTTTTGTGTAATATCGTTGGTATCGTGTCGCCTAGAGTGTTGCATGTAAATGTTGTATTAATTGTCGTTATAACGTTATGTTTGTTGCATCTTTGTCGCATTTTTTGAGAGTGGGAACTTTGTCGAGCATTATTAGTCCGTTACGGTTTGCAGTTTTTTGTATCTGAAGAGTATCCAATTGACCAGGTGTTGGCGATCCTGACTAAGAAATGACAGAAGGTGGAAGAAATTGTATGCTTCCATTGTTCCGTTTCAGTGATATTCGTCATCAGTGCGTTCGGGATCGTAAAATTATAAATGTTATCAAAGCCCTCCGAATAAATATGCAGTTGAAACCGATTTGGGGAATGTTTGAATAGGCTTTATCTATTCTGTATGAAGGAAGTTTAGTAGTGCATAAGTGAGGAGTAAGCGAAATTTTAGGTGTTATGGCGGAGATATTGACTGCCGCCCAGATTACTCCATCGATGGACTGCGAGTTAGCAGATTCTGAGCATGGTCTATTGGAAGTGTTACTTTCAATCCTTTCACTAAGTACGAAATCAGGTGAGCTTGCATCCGATGTCTCTTTTTTTTGCACTGAAGAAATTGACATTCCTGTGAGAAATGACGAAATTTCCGAAAAATCCGTTTCTTTCCAGAATCATAATAAAATTTTAGCTTTTATGGTACGCCTCTAACATTTTCATAGCCCAATCACTTACATTTGTGTAGATTTGAAATTGAACTTTTCATTCACTTATACCCACTGATAATCTGCACATGATTCTGCTATACACAGCGATTTTTGAAAAATTTCAGATACAGTGGTACGAGTGGTAACTGTAGAGTTGTGTTGTATGATATTGCGCCAGTTGTTGTTAGCGGTCGACATTCATACGACTCCGTATTCGAGATGCGAAGCGGTAGCCGATCAGGCACGGAATGAAACCATTTTATCGCTATCGAATGTTCTCTACAATGAGGATCTCTTTTTGGAAATGTTCGAAGATGAATATTATCAATTTGAGGTGAGTCGTCAGGGTTTTTCTCTCAATCCTCTGATATCATTTCGTTCAATGATTATATGATCTAAAGTTGATATAATATTGTTGTGACTGCATTAGGTTGTTGTTTTGTTGTAGCTATGAAGTAGTGAAATAAGTTTTAGCGTGATTCATTTCGTATATCACTGATCTGTGATGATCCATGTTTGCTGCTGCCACCTTCGAATACGCCGTTGAGTGGAGTGCCATTGAATAAACGATTGCCGAGTGGATCTGAAGAAAGGATACGACGTGTGAGTTTTCAGAACCTTGCTTGTGATTTCTGTTTTGGTTTATTCACATTGATGTACTTTTATCTGCGAATTGTGCACCAGTCAGCTGTGTAAATGCTTAAATGTTCTTTCTTAGTCGCCACCAACGCTTTTGAATTTTCATCTTTACAGACAATTCAGTTGTATTTCCATTTCCGAAAATTTGTTCTTGATCTTCGAGATGAATCGGAAACGCAGTTGCCATTGTCGACAAAAGGAAACACTGTCGTCGAAGTGAATGACTGTATCAACTTAGGTATGTACCATATCTACTCATCATTTTCTTGTTCGCTTCATGTTTTAGCTGTAGTTTTTTGCTGTTAATTTCTAATTTAGTATTTGTTGATTTATGTAGAAGTTTGCATGTAATTTAGAATACAACTGTTCGGTTTTTACGTTGATCTCTTCCTCTCTGTCGGACTCAGTTCGAGATGAGTTCTGATTGAGACGAATTCATCATTTACCTTAAGTAACAATTTTTCAATTGTTTCAGAGAACAGCGATTTACTGTCGTGTACAGTTGTGTTGACGAAAGGTGAACGACACCAACGGTTTTTAGTTGCTGATCAACTTCAGTTGATACTCGTTGAGCCAGATACCAAAAGGCTTGGCTGGGCCAACGTTCGTTTTGTCGGCTTGTTGCAGGTTCGTCCTCTTAAAGTCAACTTCGCATTTATTTACGATTTTGCTGTTGAACTGACGCAAATAGCGCGAAAAATCACGATTGTCGACTTATGTGTATTCGCTTTACGATCATCGCATAATATGCGATTGCAGAGCAACAATTGTTGTTCGCTTGCGATTGGTCGAATGGATTCGATTATTGGTCGTGGAATGCCTTTCAGGATACTCAATTGACCGGCGATCCAGGCGAGAGTCGAGCGCTGCACGTTGTGGTGAATGATGCCCGAACACGATCGCATCTGAAGAACGAGCCGCTGTTGAGTGCCAAATTCCTGTTCGAAGATCATATCAGATGTATGGCGGCTAAACAACGTCTCACAAAGGTCGTTTGACGTATTCTTTTATTTCTATGACTGATGGAGGGAATGCAATTGACGACGGAAAGTAGTTATTCAGTGAATATTAGCTGAACGTTGACCACGACCACGTTTTCGGTTCAACGATCACATTCTTATTAACAGTCTTTCGCTATATACCAATGGACTTACCGATGGATGATATTTCAGGGTCGTCAAGCAGCACGTCATATGAAATTAGATTTAATCTGTGACGTGTTGGGACTGCCGAAACGCTCGCTCACACCAGGCAGTAATCGAAATCCTTTCCGTATCGTGAAAGGATGTGCTCCAGGATCACTTCGCAGACAATCGCAGCAGTTACAAATAGCTACCACGTCGAGTAGCGGTCCATCGAGTGGTAAATCGTCAACAACTTCGTTAAACATTGTCCCGGATGATCCCAAACCCGCACCCGCTACGATTCCGTCGTCGTCATCTGCCGCTTCAGCAAGTACGTTGGGTGTACGAAACGCAAACGGTATTCAAGATCTGTGAGCATCAAAATTGATGATCAGCAGTCACTTGTTCACTACTCCGTTCTTCTGCTATCTCTTTGCATTTCGATCAAACGATTGTTTCAGCTTTGGGCGTGCTGAACCAATGTGGCGTTGAACAGGTACGTTTTGTCTTTGTGTGTTTTCTTCTGATTGTACATATCGTTGTGTAATAAAACAGTCGCTTCAGTTCTTTTGAAAAATTCATCAGAATAGGGCGAATAAATTGAGGGATGAAACGAAGTAAAATGCACAGTTCTCCTTCTTGTCTCATTTCGGTCTTATTCTATGTTAACGATCGAGAGAACTCGGAAAGGAGATGAGACCGCCTCAAAATGATTAGGGTGAATCTCGCCAGAGTCTGTGTAAACCTTGCCAGTGCTTGAAAACAGTTTTTTTAAATTATTAAGAGATATATTGACTACACTTTTATGTGGATACTATAGTTGGAGATATGTTTGTGATATGTGTTATTGTTATGGAAAAAATGTTTAGTTTGTGCAAAATTTCATTTGCTCATTTATTTGTTACAGCGATTCAGAAATAACATTTGTATTATTCCTTTTCTCTTTCAATTTCGTTTCATATGGCCATTGTGATGACTGATTCGGTGGAAACTGTAATAGTTTCTTTTGTCATTTTGAATCTCTCGTGAAACATTCATTGTTTTTGAAAACGTGCATTCTTTTATGCAGTTGGTCAAACCCATTCGCATAATGTGCTCAGTTTGAATTGAAGTTTACAAATGTTACTGTTGGGCAGCTGTTCGGTTATCTTCTAGTTTGTCAGTAGCGATATTTTCGTTGTTATCAATTTTTAAGAAAAGTACCCGAATGACTTTTGTATTGTTTTATGTGTAGAGCTATTATACATGTACATTTGAAAGTGATCAAATTTGTGATGTGTTCCATTCGTTGTGTTGTTATGAGTGTGTTCAATGATATGTTTAATAAAATTTAGCTATCGCATTTGTATTGTTTGATTTGGCATCATTTTTATGGCAATAAAATCATCTATTTGCTGCAATTCGCTCTTGCAATATCTGTTCTGTTTGATTGGACGAATTTCGATATTTTCACGATCACCTTTGGTTAACTTTGATTCGTAGCGTAATCTGTTTACTCGATTGGGCTAAATGCTAATGAGCGATTTGATTCGATCAACACAAGAATGGTTTTAGTTTAGAATCTTGGTGGTGGATAGTCGGTGAATATGGCCGAAGCAGCAAGTTCCTCAACACAGATTCCTAGTGATTCATTTCCATGTATCATTGTATTGGGTATGGCTGGATCTGGGAAAAGTTCCTTTGTACAGGTACACACGCACATACACATCTACTTCGCACTTCATGCATTGACATTAGTTTTTGTTATCAGCTCTGATGTTCACTGCATTCTTATTTTCAGCGACTGACAGCACGTTTACACGAGAAGAAATCGATACCATATGTGATTAATCTGGATCCAGCCGTCAATACAGTACCGTATCCGGCGAATATCGATATTCGAGATACGGTCAAATACAAAGAAGTGATGCGTGAATATGGCCTTGGCCCGAACGGAGCGATTATGACTTGTCTCAATCTCATTTGCACTAGATTCGATCAGGTACCGACCTGATATTGGCGTTTCAAAGTCTAAAATTGGTCCGAAACGTTCGCTGTGATTTTCTGGCTTTTCTGTACTCATCGAATGGATCGGAAAATCAATCCGAGTTCATCTCACAATGAGGCTTTTTGAAATCCAATAGGTTATTACATTTCATCGCACCGTTAGCTGAAAGTGTGTTGGCTGATCGAGCTTCGATATGGTTACAATCACAACCAAATGAACTCTTCCAATTATCATCTTGAAATCTTCAGAAAGGCTTTGATTGTCTTGCAACTGAATGATTAGTGGAAATAATGTGGCGAATAACAAATAGAAATTGCGATTCACGCTAGCGTAGTGCTACGAAGCGATAGAGTAAGTCAGAACTTATGAAATATCCACTGCAGGTGCTAACACTGGTGAATAAACGTGCCGGTGTTTGTTCGCATTGTCTGATCGACACACCCGGTCAAATCGAAGCGTTCACGTGGTCCGCATCAGGAACGATTATAACTGATTCACTGGCATCAGCCAATCCAACAATGATTGCCTACGTTATGGATTCTGTTCGTGCCACAAACCCGATCACTTTCATGTCCAATATGCTATACGCTTGTTCGATTTTCTATCGTACCAAATTACCTTTCATTATCGTTTTGAATAAGGTGATCCATATCTTCTCTTATCACTTACAAGTTCTTGCTAATCATTCCTAGAAGTTGAATATTACCAAACGTTATGAAAATAAATACACTCTACTTTTGGGGAGGTATTGTGTGCGTTGGTATGAGCCGAAGTTCGTTTCGCATTCAAAATTTTTGTGGAAAAGATAATGTTTATCAATGCTTTCCGCAGTTACTTTTTGAATTCTTAAGCGTGTAAGTTTAGGCTGATATAGTACGACCGACGTTTGCAACGAAATGGATGCGAGATTTTGAAAGCTTTCAACAGGCACTAGACGAGAACAGCTCAACGTATATGAACGATTTAACGCGATCGCTGAGTTTGGTTCTTGATCAGTTCTATGAGAATTTTTCAGCTGTTCCAGGTTCTGTCTTCTAATCTGCTCGTTTTCGTTTATTTTATCACCGCTTTTCTTCGAGATTGATTCACAGCATACTTTGTGCATGTACATATATGTGTGTCGGCTTCATGAAGTTACCAAAAATCTAGAAACGATTTCAGCAAATTGATTTTGTTTGGTGAATGCGACAGTTTGACAATTCAGTTTAGAATTCAGCTTCCATTTTCTTTCAGTGTCATCTCTAACCGGTGAGGGTATTGATGAGTTCTTGGAGGCAGTCAAGAAATGTACGCAAGAATATTACGATGTTTATCGACCAATGTATGAGAAACTTGCGAAAGATAAGGTATCGTTGAAATTATTGGTTTGTTGTGGATATCACCATTATTACTGATGTCACAGTGATTGATGATTGATAATCTGAATACTGTTATGAGTGATAGTTCTGATCATTTCGACACAAGGAATTTCACAGGACGGATCGTCCATAACTGAGAAGTTCATTTGAGATGTCAGTCATGATCATCCAACTGTACGATAAAATGTTTTCAGATGAAACATGAAGAAGAGGAAAATGTCGAGAAATTGTCAAACTTGACTGTCAAAGAAAGGGAGTTATTGAGTGTGAATCCACCGGAAGCCGGAAGAATTTTTGAGAAAATTCATTTGGGTGGTGTTGATGAGGAGAATGAGGAGGATTCAGAGGTTCCACGTTGATGCGAACAGACAGACTTTTACCGAATACGGAGAACTGAGAACATAATGAGTATTGTATCCTCCATCACTTCACTTCTGATCAATTACCACGTTTTGTTATCATTGCTTATTGATTGTATTGTTGTCTCATGATTATTGTTATTGCGGTTGAATAAAATTTGTGCATCGAAACCGTTTGTTATCAAAATGAAGTATGTTTGTGCAAGATGTGAAATTTGATTGATCCTCAATATTCAGCACGATCGCTTCGTCAAAATCACTATTCCATGTGAGTGAAACAAATTCTCATGAAGACAAACAGTGGAGCCAACCTAATAGAGGAGCGATTCCTTCGTCAGTACAAAAGGCCTTTTATGAAATATTCAGCACCTCATTTTACATCTCATTGTATCTTTGAATTGATGGGATATTGCATTCATTCTCGTTTTTAGCATTTGCGCTTTCACTTATCAAAATCCTATCAAGATTTTGAGTTTGAGTCACGAAAGTATTCTCAGTCAGATACAATTTCTATGTCTGACAGTCGCTTCATCGTGATTGTGTTGTTCCACAACGGTAGTACAATCAAATGTAGTTTGCGAACGTTTTCATGGCGATTTAGTTGGGTGGACGAAATTTTCTATACAGCAGAGTTGTACCTTATCAAGCATACATAACTGTTATGCTTAATGCTTCATCGAACAGAACGGAAATGGGCATGAAAATGTATCAGAAGTTGTTCAACATAAATTTCATTCAGTACGCTCGAGTGCATCAGCAGTTCACATGAAAACCTTCAAAATCTCGATTCCTTCTGAACACAGAAGGAATTGCGAGTAATTCATTACCACCTGTGTTATGCCATCTAAGCGAAGTGTTGCTTCATCTGTCTACCGAAATCGAACGATCCAAACTAAAGAAAGAGTTGCAATCGGAACCAATTTCAGTCCCACTTCAAAACAGCTTTCAGTTCGACTCATTCACAACTATTTGAGCAATAATTTTCTGGAACAACGAGGTATGGATTTATATGAATGCTATTTCTTTACAATAGAGCGTTTGTGTTTGGCGTAATCTTTCATAAATTACCGAAAAAAAAGAATTGATCTACCGTATCCCGATTGCATTTCACAGTTGTGTTCTGTTCCTTGTCTATCTCTGAGTGAATGATGGAGAAAATTCGTTTCAAATGAAAATGCATGCATGAATGACTGAATGAATAAACAAGCGAATGAACAATAACAGTTAATCATCATGGAAACTGTGGTCGCATTCTATACAAAGAGGTAAACACTGGACAACTGACTCTACCAACAATCGATCAACTCCCTCAAATCGTCCTCAGAGGGCATTCCTTGCCGAAACAACGAATCGCCGTATCTCCGTTAACTGACCGCCGAAGAAAATTGGCCAATCTAGTTGAATGCGGCGATTTTGAAGTGAACAAGAAGCGAACTGATAAAAGTTTTGATAAGAATGCTTATTTGGGAAGGACGGGAGAGGTGTCGATCACTGATCAAAATGCGTGTCCAGGTACCCATTTCGAATGGAACACTTTCTCTGTCCTCGTAGAATTTAGAATGCAATAGACCATAGTAATTGGAAACGGATTCATTGCTGTGCAGACTTAAATCCATTTGGAATGAGCAGCTCAATNAATGCAATAGACCATAGTCTTTGGAAACGGATTCATTGCTGCGCAGACTTAAATCCATTTGGAATGAGCAGCTCAGTAGCCTCATTGTGAGATGTAAAGTTGAAAGCAAATGCAGACAGAAACCGACTCACAAGAAAGTTGTGATCGATAGTGTGTGAGGTAGTTGTTGAGTTAATAGAAATAACAAGACCAATCCGCTATCGCAGTCAAGTTGTTTAAAAACCCGTCAATGATTCTTGATCAGCACAAAATACCTGTACGATTACTTAAATACAATTCAAAGATTTCATAAATGGTATGCTGAAGTATGTCGGCGAAATTACGAATGAAGAACAGAGAAGCAATGTGCTTCAACAAATCAAAAGCGTTTGGTGTGACTGGAATCGAAGTGCGTCTTCATGTTGCCGAAACACTCATCGAATTCCTAAGCAGTCGGTTTTTCATCTCAAAATGCAATCAGTTTCGAGTTTTCCACTTGCGCATTTCTCTCAAGCAACAGCAAACAGCGTGAAAGGGCAAATAATCAATCAAAAAGTTCCTTCATTCAATCAATCGTTCAACTTCTTATTCTGTTTCAGCATATATTATGACAAGAAACCTCCATGGAAAGTGGAATGCTCAGATCATTGGGAACAGTTAAACACAGTGATTGATACACACCATAAAATAAGAATGCACTTCTTTACAAACGTTTGTTTTTCATTCAAAAAGATTCAGCGACTACAACTCCATTAGTTTCCTCATGTCCAGTGTTCGATTATTGCTGAATTTTTGCACATTGTTTCTCAAATTTACGTGAAACAGATATTGGCATTCAATAGTTCTTAATTCTGAAAAGTTTGACTCCACTCACAGTTTTGATCTTGTGCAGTTCAAATCGTTAACTTTCGACAGAATCAAGACGCTTACTATCGTTTATTTACTTCAGTTATACGATGAACTGATAATCGACTGGGATCAAATTTTCTTCAGTAATCATTTCCGTTTATATTCGGAATTTTTGGAAGAGTTCAATCGTCAAATTCAAAGGATCACCTATATAACACAAAACCAGTGAGTTTCAGTTCATGAGCAAAGCAAATGTGGTGAATTCGTTCGTGATCTTCAATTATACCTTTCACCTTTTCAATTGCCACAAAAACCAGCTCTAAATTGTAATTCTCGTCAAAAGAAAAAATGATATAAATCACTGGCTTCAGCTGGCCATTGGATATCAGTGAACTACTGCTGAGCTGTAGTGAGAAATGGACAAAGTTTCTTTTGCAACAACCCAAACTCACCAATTTTCTGAACTCGGTCGCGTCATTACAGGTACTCTTGATTTTTGAAAAAAATTGGAGCTGAAGGAACACTGGCTGAAAAATCTGCAAAAAGTTAGTCAAAAAATTTCCAGGGTACACTGATTGCAATGGTCATCGAGCAAAACATGGAGAATATCGTACACAAACTATCACTAACAAAATCGGTTTTTATTCAGTCTTTTTATTGACAAATTACGCTTGAATATTCATTTCGGTTGTTCTCATATTCATACACATCTATACATCCTAAGATATACAATAAGTTTTGTTGATATTCAACGTCGACAAAGGAGATATTGGTTTTCATTTTAAATCGAAACTCTGCTAGATGTGCACTGATCTGTCGGTAGATTATCTTTGTTGCTGAGTGGGAATGTTTAATTAGAGAGTTCTGCATTTGCATATCATTAATCAAAACTTTAACTTTGCCATATTCTGTGAAATGAAAAAGACCTGGCATGTTTGCATTGCAGTTTGCATCGATTCCGAAGCTGCGAGTATGTGTCACTGAGGAACTTCTCGATAATGGTCTCAATATTGCGACTTTATTTGGTACTTTCTATTTGTCATGAACAATTTCTTCGTAAAATTCGTCATTCCTTCTGTAAGACAGAGGAAAAACCTCGTGCAGTCTTGAAGATGTTGAGTGTTTTCATTTCACTTCCAACTAAACAACCTGTTTTGCTCAAGTTACTCCAATCTCGCATTCGTTTTCAGACGAAATACGCAAGATTGGCGATAAAATACCTCATGCAGAAACAAAACTATATCCTAAGCTGTTTCCATACACCAAATATGTTACTGTGAAAGACTTTGGAACAGAGTATAAGACAATTGCTGTGAAATCGCCATTAGCATTGTTCAAATTTGAAATGAAACGAATGAATGAAATCACAAACGATATCGAACAATACACGTCGAAGGATTATGAATTGGAGCGCTGGAAAAAGGTTCAGTTATTTGCCTTACTTAGGAGCC